CCTCATGCTTGTGAGGGTTTTCTCCGAGTGGTTTCTCCCACCCCCAAAAACCTGTACAATAGGTTGCCTTAAAGCCCAGCTCTTGAAAAAAATGGGATTTGCCTGGTTAAACAACAGTAAACTAAAAATCACGGTATCCTAATTACATTATCATTAGAGTTTATTTGAATCGAGTTTTCAAAGAAACAGTTGCCGTAGATTTTCATCTGACATATTTGCTTTGTTGATATGAAGACCTACAATACAAAGTTGAGAACCATAAAAGCATTGCTGTGAACCAAAATATCAACAATAAAAAAGTCACACAACAGAGTAAGTGTACTATATTTTGAGGTGTACTTGGTTGAAATCCACGCTGAGTCATCTAAATCCATTTTTCTTTGTGTGCTCCTGACAGAGGGGCACACTTTCTCACTCCAGATAAGTGCAGGTTCTGTATGGACCACAACTTGGCTCCAGTTATTCCTTGATCACTGAAGTCTAAAGTAATGTAGACAAAAAAAACTGAGACGTATGATGAGCTGATGCTTCTTCCACTCCCAGGTCAGGATTGTTTTTTTTCTTTTATGAACAATCAAAATGCTTTGCAGAGTAATCGTTTGTGGATTGTTTTCCACTATGGTTGCCTGTCTCATAAAGAGTGCTTGTCAGGAAGCAAGACAGTGTGTGGTTGTCATGGTGTTTATAATAAGCCACTGTCAGCAGCTTTAACACTCCCTTTGATCTCGGTCTTTCCTATACTCTCTATACAAAATGTAGTCATCAAAATGTTGGCTATTTGTCAGTTTTGATTGTTTCACAGTAAGTCTCAAAATACTCTGGAAAATACAACAAAAATATTTTAGAAGATACATCAAAATTAGATAGTAACTGAACTGGCACCATTCAAAGAAATGATAATTTTGCCACATTGCACTTTTAATTAAAGTTGTATGAAAAAGTTGGCCACTTACATTTCATTGAGCTAATAGCATCATTTCCTCATGATCATATTTGGCCAAAATTGACTTATGTGAATATGCTATTAGGCTAATGATTTGCTCTTGCACTTGCAAGATATAAGTAATAGGTATTTCAAAAATAAAAAGAACAAATAGGAGAAAACTAGAAAATGAATTTCATTTAATGTTTATGAAACAATGGCAACAGAATGCCAGCAAGACTGAAGAACAGCAAGATAGAAAAATAAAATCTGTACCGTCAGACAGCAAACATTGCAACACTAATAAAATCAGAGGTAACGGCAGAGATAGGACATTTTATTTTTTGCACCCATATTGCAGTACAATTTTGGCGTGGCGACGACTGTCTGGGATTGTAATTCAAATCATGACTTTAAAGTGCCTTCAGGAGACGGTTTGTATGTACAAAAAGTACTCTAATCTCCATTTAAACTCCACTCAGCCCCTTGAAATGGGTTTTACTTTGAGGAGCACTCTTTGCCTTTTAAAGCAGGCAGAATTGCTTTTAGAAAAAAAAACATTTGAGTTTGCCACAAAAGTGGGCATTAATCCAAAAATTTCACCCCTAAACTACTTAGTTTGGAGAAGTTCAGAAAATTTGGCCCGAGGTCCCCGCCATCTGCCTCTGAAAGGTTTTTTCCCAAACATCGTGGTCCCTCTTGTGCTGAATTGTTTAATTGAGATTGGAATAATGACCCTGCCAGCAGCGTGCCGGGGCCAGGTCCAAGGAGAGGGGCTGATGCAGGCGAACAGTATTTAGTAATCCTATCMGCTGCCTTATGAGCGTCTGCTCCTCACAGCAGCTCACTCTTCAGATTGAGTTGTTCACTCAGTCATGGATTCAATATTTACTTGACGATTCAATATTTACCAAGGCACTTTCCCGCAAGCATGACTGAGGAGATAGTGCTGCTGTGAGGATCCTGTCAAAGCCTCGTTACATGAGATTCTCAGCAGAGAGGCTGCGGTGGGGGAGTTTGTGTCTTATGCCACAATGAGATGCTGATTCAAGCTGTGGTGGAACTGTCACCCCCCTCCCCCCCAATCCAYTGAAATGTGCATCTGTAAAGTGTTTTGTGACGGTTCTGCCCGACTGAGTGCTGACATCTTTTCCGGATGTGTATCTCCATTCTAGGAAAATTAATCACGCTTAAAGTTTAACCTTGAGGTATCCATGTTAAAAATCAAGTATCCTCATAAATACTTTAGATCAGGGATTCCTAAATTCCTTCTCCTTTCTTTCCTCTGAGGACAGATGTCTTAGAGTAAGAACATGCATTTCAGTCGGATGACTGGCAGCATGAATATTTGATCTTTGTGAAGTGTGACTGGCTGCGCAGCACGGTTCAAAGGCTGCATGACAATAAGTTTAGCCTCTGACTGGTGCTTGTTGCATCAAACCCAAAGCCTTACTGCTTGAATCACAATCCTGATTATTATTTTTTTATTGCTTCAAAAAGAAAAAAAAAGCACTTTACCCATCCACTTAAACAATATGTTGTTAGTAAACATGTTAGTGTAAAAACTGCTAAACCTTCATGTGAGTTTGCCTGCTGTGGTGACCTCTAGGCTTGTCGCAATAAGCAATGAATAAATTAAAATGAGGTCGACGATTTTAATTTTCCTACTTGTTTTTGTTTTCCTTCCTCTTTTCTACTTTTTAGCGTATTGAACTCTTGCGTCACGTATTTACCAGGTGCATGGTTTTGTAACCTGTGAGAGCAGGCCTTTAGTTAGAAGAGCATTTTCAGTTTTATGACGCTTTTTTTTCCAGCTCAGGACACCCTGGGTTCTTTTTCTTTTGTAACATTTTTTGCATGTACAATTTGCAATCTTCTGTAACCTTCGTAAGCAGTGCGTGGTTCTGCAGTATTTTTTCTAAGACAATTTATCATCCAGAAAAAAAAAATGTTATTGTGACGGGCCTAGCGACCACTGGAGAAGGAAGCAGCTGTCAATAAGAAACATCATTCTTTATTATTTCTAAGTAATACTGGCAAAACTGTTACTGATAGGTCTGTCACTTTTTTGCCCTCAGTAGTTACACACCACCATGAAAGAAGATGAGCTATTATGAATTGTGTGTGGATAGGCCTTTACTACTGATTAACTTCATTCAAGATGGCTAACACGGTTAATCTTAGCAAACACAAAAATAACCATAACCTTGTGACTTTTACAGCTATTTTGCTAAAATTCGACATGGTAGTAGCTGAGAGTGTTCTCCACATACTCTGAGCACAAACACTTTGAGAAATGTCAACTGTGTCTGTTAAAAAAATCTTCAATACCACTGGATGAACTGTAGCAAACTAGTAGAAATTGTTCATTGGTTATATTTCTAGGACTGAATGACCTTTAGAATTACCCTCTTTTAAGATAGCTGCCAAAACAAATCAACCTTAATCAAATGAGCAAACATTCAATTTTGATCTAGGGGACTGTGTTTGTGTTGATTCAGTGAATTCTTTTGAACAAAACTATTATTTTTGGTTGTCCGCAATTCCGTTTGGATTTAGATTTTCTGATAATGTAACAGCTTTCAAATTATTACAGTTCCCACTTGTAACAAAGCATTGTTGTTTTTTGATGTGATTTTATAACAATAGAACAACTGCTTACGGAACTCAAAGCTATTGATCAAAAATAGACTAAGTTAATACACATGAACATGTTTCTATATTCAACTCAGCCTAAAACTGACATGTCAGTAGTTAATTTTTCTGCAAACGACAAATATTTTTTAAAGTAATGAAAACAATAAAATCTAATACTGACTTCTACGTCAAATTCAGGTTAATTTTTATATGAATGGAGCCAACCTGAACTTGACTGATTACAATAGAATCAGACTAAACAGGGTAATAGAAAATTAGACCTAATTGGTTTGTATTTAATTAGACTTGAACATGTTTACCCTCTCTGTAAAGTGCCCTGAAATTACTGTTTTGACAGGCTACAAAACATATGCATAAAATATTTGAAGTGAACTTGCTACACACCTACCTGCTGTAAAAATATGTTGGAGATGTAAATCCTTGTACGACTAGTGAACAAAATGACAGGTTTTCCACAATTTATATAGACAGCATATATATAGTATCTGAAACAAGGCAGACATGGAGGTTCAAACTGGATAATTATTGTTTCAGTTTGTTTTCTGCTGCCCTGTGTAAAATCTTCACCATCATGAGCTCCCTCTACCACAGTTTGAGTACACTTCCTGTCTGATGATAACCTCTGACTCTTTACTACCTGTTATGGTTCAGTACTATAATCAACTGATCTTGCACTCCCTGTTTTGCATTTCACACACTCACCTATAGATACACTCCTCRTTTTCTCCTCTGTGACTCTGTCTCTGCTTTGATCAGAAATAAACTAGCAGCTGCCGCCTTCCTTTCCTCCTCTGACGGGAGCTCCGCTGGGAACAGTTATTCTGTCTGCCCTCATGTAAAAACACAGTCCTATACAAATCCATAACAAACAGGATGAGCTCACTGTCACTCATTTATTCATTTATTCTTATTTTTGCTTACAATTTAAAAAAAATATACACGCGGCCAAATTGACACGCCGTGATCCGTGGAAAGAAAATTTAAAGGGAATGAGACGGGGGCCGGTTGAAGAGACAGACGGTCTGATTGAGCGAGGGAGCAGGAGGGAATTGGAGACGGAGATGAAGAGAAATGAAGTGAGACAGAGAGAATCAAGGGGTTGGGAGGGGAGGATGTGTATAAGTGTGTGTGTGTGTGTAGGTGTGTGTGTGTGTGTGTGTGTGCTCAGGGTAGCAGGGGGCAAATGAAGTATTTGTCACACTTCTATTGGAAAAAGATTGAAAGCGAAGCAGAGAGATGAGTGGAGGTTATCTGCACGTAAAGCTTTTTGTGCTCTTAAAGTGCTGCTGTATTCTGACCAAGCCAAGTCCTGTTGCCTTTTTCATTTTCATCCTTCCCCMCTTTGCTTATTTGTCACCTTTTTTTAATCAATTTTCCTTGCCTCGTCTCCTCCTTCCCTCCTCGCCTCTCCTCCCTGCAGGCACGTCTATAATCCAGGTGACAGCGACAGATGCTGATGACCCGACATATGGGAACAGCGCCAAGCTTGTGTACACTCTGGTGCAGGGCCAGCAGTACTTCTCTGTCGATCCCCAGACAGGTAAGCGTCTCATCACAACACACACACACACACACACACACACACACACACACACACACACACACAC